GGAAGTGATGAGAATATGTTTATTTTCTATTTAAACATAAAAACAGCATTTTAATAACAGCTAAAGGTGACATAGATACTTTATTGTGGTATAGTATTTAAATGTATGCCCGAGAAACACATAATATTGGCCCTTTAACTTAAAATATTCTTCAGGGTCTTTTTAAATTCTAATCTCTCCTAGAATGTAAYATTTTTGAATTTCAAGTGTGGACCAGATGATTCTGCCACTTACAGTTTAGGAATTTATTTTTATGGGATTTCAAAATTTTCTGACCATTTGTTTGAGGCTTACTTTCTACTCTTCTTTGACAGAGTTTACAACCACTCACAGTTGTAGATATTCYAAGGTTTGACTGAAACTCTTCATTCATTGACTCTTTGTGTGAGACTTTATTTTGATTAGAATTTTTCTCTGCCTCTTAATAACTTTGCAGTTAGGGACTGACACACACATAGTTTGTGGTTGCCATGGTGTCTATAAGCCAATATTGGCAGCTTTAATTTTTTCTTTTATCTTGGTTCTCTTTAAGGGCCCGATGTGGTTGATTGGCAGTCGATTAGTCGACTCTTGGTCATATGGTGGYGGGAGATTCATTTAGGTACACACCTTCCATAGGCCAATGAGACACAGTGCAAAGCTCCTGGGAGAACCCTCCCACAGCAGTACACATCACATCACATCATGGTGTACTTCCTGCCAGTGTTACCACTCTGATATCCTACTTATTTAGGCCACAAATTTGTCACTGTTAAAGTGCAAGATATCTTGGCAGACTGTTTCCTCCATGCACAACGTCTGTGATCTTTCCATCCATGAGTTTTTGGCCATTTCATTACCTTTATAAATGTGTACTTGTGAGTACAACAGTTGGCTTCCAGAAGCAGAGTAGTTGAAGCAATATGCCACCTTTTCAGTGTAAACAAACATGCCCACAAACTTTTAACCAATAGCACAATAATTTTGTATGCCGAGAGGGGAGTGAAAACTTTGGTCTGGGCCTGAGCCAAAAAGGGGTGGGCGACACGAGGCTGAGAACAAAATGACACAATTTTTGTCACACAACTGCGTCAGTGAGAGCCGATTTCACAGGTTTGGATAGAACTTGAGGGGCCACCCTTTTACAGTTAAAACATCAAAATTTGGGTGAAGATGGTGGAGTTTAGGACATAGGAAAGGAGCTGCATTAAACCCTTAACATTAGGAAATGTTATTGCATATTATAATTGTTATTAGGTATTTTCAAGCATTTTAAAATTTTACTTGGTGCTGTGTTCCGTAGGCAGCTGTGTGTGGTGTCAGGGGAAAAAAACAAAGTGGAGAAGTTCAGCAGTGTTGGTCTTGATGGAGCTATGGTGATCTGGAACTTTAAGGTATGTCAAATTTGATTTCAAATAGACTGCTGGGTAATTTGTACTTTTAAACACTTGTAGAATGTGAGCGAGGGAAGTGAGGATGATGTGTTTTTCCGATCTTTACTACCCTTATTTTTCCACTCTAAAGTTGGAGGCATCAGGTCAGTTCATTGACCCAAAACAACTATATTAATTTATTCATTCCTTTATAATTGAACTCAACACTTAAGTAAACGTCTGTGTAATTACTAAGTACATTTTAATAATAAAAAAGAGTTATTTACCCAACTGTGTTTTGAAATTTTACAAAAATTTTTTTACATTGAATGTAATACCCATATCTCGTACTTAGCTGCTCTCATTTCTAACTCAGCAAGTGTCATTTCATGCTCATATGTTCATTATCCACTTGTGTTCCTGTAGCCTTGTTTAGGGTGAATTAAAGGTTAGAGTTAAAGCCAGGGGTCAGAACTTAAAGGGATAGTCTTTTAATTTTTGAAGTAATAATCAATTAGATACAATAGCTATCAATAGTTAATGAAGTATGAGGAGAGATAATCATGAGGCACTTTTTGATTTTATTACAATTCAGGGGGCTTCAGTGCCTTTATAAAATAATARTTATTGCATATTTATGCATGCATTATTACAATTTAAACAAAACTGAGTATAGAATATCTCAGACCTAAAGTGATTAAATATTTAGCTTTATATTGCAGTATTAAATAGTTTTCTGTCATAACTTACGTTTGAACTTTCTTTCAAATTAACTAAGTAAATATTCAAGTATATAATATGGTATTTTGTGATAGTGAAAAGGCCAGCTATAAGAAAAAGCTCTGTTTATTGGTTGGTCCATGTTACTACCCTCATCTATTGTCACCAACACTGGGTGACCGAAAGAACAAGGTCTCAGATACAAGCTGTCAAAATAAGTTTTATCTGCAAAATAGCTTGGTTCTCCCTTAAACATGGGGTGAAGAATATAGTTGGACTTAGAGTACAGCTGCTGCTCCTCCACATCCAGAGGAAGCAGTTGTGGTGGTTCATCTGGTAAGGATGGTTTTCCAGACATGTACGACTGGGAGGAGACCCTGAYAAATGATTTGGTCACATACAGGAAGATGTGAATAAAAAAAAAGAAAATAATGGGTATCAGGTAGTGTTGAGTGGTATACAGATTMATACCAAAAACAGTTTTTTGAATGAATTTTCTGAATACCAACATACCACTTTGATAGACTAAACACGTTCGGAACGTTACATCCTGCCCGCCAGTGAACTGTTTCACGGGGGACATTTTTATTCACAGCACCTCTATGTGCATTAGCAAGCTAATATTATTGTTGGAGCATCTTTCTCCTTAACTGGTGGCGGGTGGCAATTTCGCTGTTTATATTGACTGACATTTAAAAAAAACTCTCCCATTTTTGCCATCGCTGAATGTCATATACACCTGTTCATAGATTTCATGCGCAAAGTAATATTGTCCGATGTGTGGAGATGCTTCTATTGTGAAAGTCCAGGGGGTATCCGGGTTAAGTGGTTTCAATTTGGGGTAGAGTTGACAGTGCACAGAGGCCGAGTTGTCCTGTTAAACTTTATTAAATAACATAAAACGAAAGACCTGATAATGATCTCTGCTCAACCCTCCTCCTAGACTACTGTCTACAACCAGGCAAGGAAGAAAAGACGTGTAGCGGAGGGAAACAGTAACACAGACAGAGGAACAGAATAAGAAAAAAAAAAATCAATCAATAATTTCTGTGTTGAAGAAAGAGTAACTTTAGCTGACCGTGGTTTGCTGGTCAGTAAGCAACATTTGTACATTTTATTATCAGCTGAGCTGTGATGAAAAGAAAAATACAGTCAAATACCATGAATAAATTGTATAAATATTGAAAATACTGCAATATAAAATTTGGGTCATACCGCCCAACACTAGTATCAGGCTTAACGCTGCACTGTAAGTTTCAAGAAAATTTGTATCTGAAACCTTAACTTTTTTCCCCTGTTTGATGTGAATGGCTTCATTTACCTCCTTTWCAAACCATGTCTTTTTCAGTAAAAATATGAATATGTTGGTCCTCTACAGTTTCCTGGCACTCCTGTGTTGAGACATGAGTCTCTGGAGAGGTTGTTTAGTTTTTCAATATAGAGAACATTACTCACTGCTTGAAACTACAGACACCACACTCCTCAGTTTGATAAAACATCACTTACAATATTAATAGACTGTCACTTTAAGCCAGTTTAACAGGTATGAAGTGACTGCAGGTGTTGGTCATAGAAATAGAATATCCTGAAAAAGTTTATTTCAGTAATTTCATTTAAAAACTGAAACTTGTATATTAAGATGCTGGTGGACTTCAGTATCCAATAATTCATTATCTTTTACTGTCTTCAGCCACTAGGTGGCAGCGGTGATCAAACTAATKAACAGGCTGCCCATTTGATCTGGTAGAAGTCATCAACACAGGCTGCAGGCGCCAGCCCGCAGACAGCAGTACACAGACAGAACTGATAGAGGAGGAAATGTGAGAAGAGATGGAGAAATATGTATCAACTAAAAGAAAAATGACAGAAATGCAAGAATCAAGTATAGCAATCGATGATAGCTCTCAGAAAAAAAATTCTGGAAATATGATGAAGCCTACATAGTGCCCGGGTTTACTTGAACTATGGTTGAAAATGAAGAAAGACTTGCAATAAATAAATAATTATTATCAGGTTCTCAACAGTATTTCACTTCAAGGGGGGTYGGGAACATTTTAAAAATCCCTAGGGGGGCATGACAGAAAAATAATTGAGAACCACTGCCTTCTTTTCTGCTTGGCCTTCAGAGGAGTCRGACGCTTTTGCTCTCTCTCCCTAACCTGTACCTCCTTCCTGCTTCGCAGCTTTTTCAAGCCTTTCTTCYACCTATCATCCAAAATCAAAAGGAATTATGGRTTTGGTCAACTGGTCTCTGAATGCAATCGACTCTATTTTTTCAACATTGAGATTGGAGCATGGGGAGCGCAGCTGTCCCAATGGAATGGTGGCAGCTGGAAGGGTCTCTGGTTCTTGGGGGGCTTGGAACCTAATCTGTTTGGTGCCGCKTTCCATTGAAGACATGGAAGATTTGTACATATTTGGATTTATGATAATTGGATTCCTGCTGATTGGCTGTGGAGGAGTTCTGGCTTATCGGAAAATGAAAGCGATTCTGACAGCAGTTCGGGCCTGTGAAAAGCTGTCAGGAACCTTGGATGGAATCTCCYGTGCTGGTAACGCATAGACTCACATGCTGGGGGAATTAAGTCGCAAACTCGATGTGATTCTGATGAGATGAACAGTTCAGCAGTGTGCCCGTGAGGAGTAGGATTACACCTGGGTGAAGTTTAAGACGGAAAGGGAGGTGAGGAGGTGATGAAATTTGGAACATTCGGCTTTTTYCCCCCGCCATTACAGAGATGCAGTTAAGACTGTAAAGCATCAAGAAATTCAAGGCTCTGGATGGGTTCTTCTTTAGTGAAACGTGACATCCCAGTGGCTTTCAAACCCCAAAACACGTTATGACAAAGATTAGTTCACCCCAAAGATCCAGTTTCCTGGCAAAAACAGARTAATATAGTATATATTGTTTAGTRTCAGGAGGACTGTGGTCAGTTATACATTGGGGAAACAAAACAGCCCCTGTTCGAAAGAATGAGCCAGCACAGACGAGCTACATCATCAGGTCAGGACTCTGAAGTTTACACTCATCTACAGGCCAGCGGTCACTCTTTCAGGGGTGAAGATGTTATCATCCTTGATAGAGAGGAACGCTGGTTTGAGAGAGGAGTAAAGGAAGCCATTTTTTGTGAAGAAAAACCATCCACCATTAAACAGAGGTGGAGGCCTTCGTGCCCAGACAATGCTGTTATTGCAAGTATGACTCAGCCCTCTGTGAGCAAAAGGTGTGAATCAGGGCCCCAGCCATACCCAACACAAATAGGGAAAGAGAGATATAAACAAGGGGACGTTGAACCCCACCTGCATTCACTACATACAGATAACACAACACCTAAGAACCACAGCATCCAAACCAATAAGTCAGGTGATGGGGCACATGGCCCTCTATGAACAATAGAGCTAATCAATTCTATTGTTAGGTGATGGCCCTCTTTTGCATGTGACTAACCTGTTTGTCCACCATGTGGAGGCAGTGCTTATAAAGCTAAGTTCACCTGAAACTCACCATACTGAAGAAGTCTCTTGGAGGAGAGATGAAATGTTTCACTAAATAAGAACTCATCCAGAGGACCTACTTATTTATTTCTTTTTGAATTATGTTTATCTTTTGGATCCCTGCAGCTGCTGACCTTGGCGCTCAGCAGTAAACAAAACTTCCCTGGATGAGATGAGAACAAAGGCTTGTTCCTCGATTTCCTCATCCGTGGGTGGACTGGTACGAAGGCCACACTAGTGGTGACAGAGAATTGAACTCTGATGAACTGAACTTGAATGATAMCTACTGGTTTTGGACTCTRGAGGTCTCTGATTGATTTCAGCATGGAGWATTATCCTGAAACGTCACTGGCTCCTCTGCATCCCACCCCGTACCATGTGTCTGATCCCCAGCCCCACCCTTACACACACACCTCCTTAGCTGTCTTGCACTGAGCGAGTGGTATTTTTGAGCATATGCTTCTGTGTTTATGCGTAAACATAGAATCAGAGCAACTTTTTTTTAACTTAACCTCTTCTATTGTGTGTATTTCTAAGCTGCAAATGTAGTGCGACTGGGTTGCGCAAGACTTGTTCATCCGTTTTCCTAATGTTTATGTGTGTCTTTCTCCTGAAACGGGTGTTCTAAACTGCAAAATTTCATTGTGATGCAAATTATAATGACAATGAAGGCTATTCTATTCTATTCTATTCTATTCTATTCTATTCTATTCTATTCTATTCTATTCTATTCTATTAACCCCATAAAAAATCTGCAAATTATTGTGAAGAGGAAGATGCAATATGCCACACCCAACAATTCAAAGGAGCTGTAAGTTACTATCGGAGCAACCTGGGCTCTCATAACTCCTGAGCAGTGCCACAGWCTGATCGACTCCATGCCACGCAGCATTGCTGCAGTAATCTAGGCAAAAGGAGCCCCAGCTCAGTATTGAGTTCGGTACATGCTCATACTTTTCATGTTCATGCTTTTCACTTGGCCAACATATCAAAAAATCATTTTTATGTATTGGTCTTAAGTAATCTAATTTTCTGAAATACTGAGTTTGAGATTTTCATTTGTTTTCAGTCATAATTTTCAAAATGAAAAGAAATAAACATTTGAAATACATCAGTCTGTGTGTAATGAATGAATACAATACAAAAGTTTTACCTTTTGAATGGAATTATTGAACCTGTAAATAGATCCCACTATCAGTTCACCTTTTTCAAATTGTTCTGACATGTTTGTTTCCTTGTTTTGCAGATTTAAGTCCCCAGTGGGTGTCAATTCTGGAGGTTCAATTGGATCAAAAACACTTTATGTAACTTGATCATTTGGCAGTTTTTTGTATGTTTTTTTTTTTTTNCAAAATGAAAAGAAATAAACATTTGAAATACATCAGTCTGTGTGTAATGAATGAATACAATACAAAAGTTTTACCTTTTGAATGGAATTATTGAAATAAATTAACTTTTTTTATGATATTCTAATTTTATGACCAGTACCTGTAAATAGATCCCACTATCAGTTAGCTTTTTTCAAATTGTTCTGACATGTTTGTTTCCTTGTTTTGCAGATTTAAGTCCCCATTGGGTGTCAATTCTGGAGGTTCAACTGGATCAAAAACACTTTATGTAACTTGATCATTTGGCAGTTTTTTTGTATGTTTTTTTGCCCTTTTATAAAATGGAAAATGCCATCATTAAAAGTGAACGTGTTTTTGTAAAAGTAAATGGATTTATGTCGTGACTTTCACTCATTTTACTGTTGAACATTTGGAACACTGGTAATKTTATACTTATTTGTTGCATGTGTTTGTTAAAACATATTCAAGTTATACATATTGGACATGGACATAAAGTCCAGACTTTCATCTTTCATTTGAGGGTATTCACGTTAAAATTGGAAAAAGGGTTTAGGATTTCACCTCCTTAACACGTCCACCCAGTGACGTGTGGTCTCATRGAAATTAAAAAGAAAAAACAATATTAAACTGTCATATTTATATAATGCTTTGTACTATAAACACATTTTCAATCACCTTAAACACTTGATATTTTTTTTATTCAAAATTGCTGAATTTCCTCATATCCTGTTCAAATACAGGATGAGATGAGACGAACTATGAGGAAAAATCAAGTTCTGCCTCCAGATTGCGCAATCGTTTCAACACCACTCTGTCTCCACTTGGATTGGCAATCTCTCCTGCATGTTATGTAGTGAGAGCAGAAAATGTCTCTATATGTCACCACCAGTAAAATGTTTCTGATTTTTTTATATACACCTGACATTCCACAGTTTAGCTTRTGTTTATTCTATAAATATGTRTTTGTGTAATGTGTTCTGTGAGCTGAAACGGCTGAGAAACTACACAAAGGGAGGAACGKTGGTTACGTATTGTAACCCCAGATTCTATGAGTGTAAGYGCAGCCCTCTAAGGCTATCGCTGATGGGTACCCCCGCACGCRCTCGYGCATTCTGAAGAACCWATAGTCTACGCCCACGTACTGTGGGCCCCACCTCGGTCCGTATAAAAGGGGAGGACGGACCTGAGTTCAGCTCCCAATAGCTTACTTTTTCTTCAGCTACGGAAGCCGGTGAGGCCCCGATCCTTAGAGGGCTGCGCTTACACTCATAGAATCTGGGGTTACAATATGTAACCAACATTACGTATTGTAACCCCAGATTCTGTGAGTGTAAGCGCAGCCCTCTAAGGATCGGGGCCTCACCGGCTTCCGTAGCTGAAGAAAAAGTAAGCTATTGGGAGCTGAACTCAGGTCCGTCCTCCCCTTTTATACGGACCGAGGTAGGGCCCACAGTTCGTGGGCGTAGACTATTGGTTCTTCAGAATGCGCGAGCGCGCGCAGGGGTACCCATCAGAGATAGCCTTAGAGGGCTGCGCTTACA